CAATTTTACCTAAAAATGAAAATAAAAATTTAATTACAAAAAAAAAATTAAAAAGAAAAATTATTATTATAAATTTATTTATGTTATGAAAATGTTTAATTTATTATTCATTTATTTATTTTTTTGTCTCTCATTTTTTTATTATTATTTAATTTTATTATTATTGTTATTTTGTTTTTTTTGCTCATTTTTTTTTCATTTATTTATTTTATTCATTTATTCATTTACTTTATTTATTTATTTATTTATCCATTTATTTGTTCATTTGTTTATTTATTTATTTGTCATTTATTAGTGATTTGTTTATTTATTTGTTTATCTGTTATTTATCTGTCAACTTTGTTATTTATTTATTTTTTTTGTATCATAAAAAAGAAAAGAAAAAAAAAGCTTTGCTTTTCATTTAATTAAATATAATTTAAATATAGCTTAAACAATTTTATATTTATTTATTTATTTTATTGATTTATTTATTTGATTTTTTAATTTTTTGTATTGTAAAAAAAAGAAAAAAAACTTTCTTTTTCAATAAATTAAATATAATTTTAAAAAATTTAATTTAACAAAAGTTTTTAAAAAAATTTATAATAGATAATTTAACATTTAATTTAAATGTTGTTTAAATGAAATGAATATAATCCATGTAATAATTTATGAGGCAATTATAGGAGAAATATTTATGAGCAAAAATCAAAGCTTTTAATAGCTATTAGTAAAGTTGAAATTTCAAGATAAAAAGGGTGAAATAAACTTTTCAAAATAATTGATAAATAATTTAACAATGAAACAATGAATGCTTCGTCCCTCATTTGATCAATAATTTATTATTTTCTAATTTAATTTAATTTACTTATTTTTGCACTTTCAATAATTTACTAAAATTGTTGTCAAAAATAATAATTAAAATCATTTGTTTATTAATGCATCAAACATTAATTAGATTAATAATGCGTATTTGTAAACTTGCATTTTGACTGTTACAATAGCTAAGCTTAATTTTTACAAATGGATAATTAATCATTTAATAAGATATGATTAATTAGTTTTAATATTTGAACATCAAAAAATATTCAACATGGATAATAATATATATATAAATTCATATCTCGTTAATTATGTTAGAATTTGATAGTTAATTAATTAGCCGTAAATTCACAACAGTTTAATTAATTCTAGGATAAAAATAGTTTTTTACATATGTAAGAATTATTGATCTATTCTAATATTAGATTAATATATTTTCCTCTCTTTTCAATTTTCAATTATACTTATATTTTATTGTAATTTTACTAATTCTCAACCTTTTCTTTAATCTTTCTCTCACAATCTTTTCGTAATCTTGATCATCAATAATCACAGTTATGTCTATATTTCTTTGTAATTTTACTAATTCTCAACCTTTTTCATCATCTTAATTATCAATAATTATTTTAGCTTTTTAATTTGTGGCATAAATTAAAATGTTCAAAAATTATCAACATTTGTTAATTTGAAAATAAACTCTAATCAAAACTTTTATCACATTAATTTTATCAAATATTGATCGGAACACTTTTTTTTTTTACCTATCTTCTATTTACAATATTGCTATCTCTCCTTTTGATTAATCAATTGGGATTGAGAATTTATTTAATTTTAAATCAATTCATTATACATTTTAAATCTTTTAACTAAATATATTATGAATAAAAGCTAATCTTTTATTTAATTTTAAATCAATTTATTATACATTTTAAGTCTTTTAACTAAATATATTATGAATAAAAGCTAATCCTTTGTTATAAGAAATTTTCAAACAATTCTTACCTCATCTGTTATTTTATTATCATTAAAGAATTCATCTACCTGTGCGAAAAATTCCTCGGAATCATCGCTGAAATTGATTAAATTTCTTTTTTTTTTTTCATTTATTACTATCAATTTTGTCACATAAGAAATAGGTTAAATACAATGGAATGAAAAGGAAAAAAAATGAAAAGTAATTTAAATATTTAATTAAATATGAGATTTATTAAAAATTAAATAACAAAATAAAATCTAAAATTAACAATTATTCCATTGTAAACTTTACTTACAAATCATGCATTTATTTATTTTTCGAACTAAATATGATCAAAAAAAATTTGAATATTTATTTAAATATGAGATTTATTAAAATATCTTAGAATTTGGTCAATGTATGAAAAAAATTGAGAAAGAAAAAAAATGTGATAATTAAAAACAAAAAAAAAAACAAAATGCATGATTTATTTGTAAATAAAGTTTACAATGGAATAATTGTTAGTTTTAGATTTTATTTTGCATGAATACATGCAACATGCATGCGCATAATTATTCCTATTGCATGCATTCATGCAAAAATAAAAAAAAAAGAAAAAAATTTAAGAAATTGAAGTAAACATTTTTATCGAAATTAAAGTATAATTTGCAAATAATTACATTTGTTAGATGAATATATTATAATGGATGAAAAAAAAAGCAATTTAAAATATTTCGAATTTAAAAAACTTTAAGAAAAAATTTTAAATTAAAAAAAGTTTCAAAATATTTTTAAAAATTTAAAACTTAAAAAAACGGTTTAAAAACAGTTTAAATTTGAGGAATAAAAATATGATTAATTTTTTTGAAAAATTTACCTAATATCTGGTGGATGATACCATTGAGCTGTAACAGATGTTGTATCATATATAGGATGTTTATCAGTATATGAAACATTATGTGATTCGTCAATACTATATAATGATTCAGGCATATCATTATTATCACCATCATCATCATCATCATCATCATCATCATCATCATCATCATCATCATCATCCATTGATGGTGGAAAATCATATGAACATGTGATATTATTCGATGTTGCATGTTGATCAATTGATGATAAGAGATCAGTTGGACATTCCATACTTTGGGATAATTTAGCAAGATCTAAAACAAAAAAAAATAATTTAAGTTAAAATGGCATGACGAAATAATACATTTTAATATTATTATCATAAATGATTGGTTAATTTTAGTTTTGTTCACTGAGAATAATTTGGATTGTAATTTTTTGGAAAAAATTTTATTAAATTTTATCAAAATAAGTTTAATAAAAATTTTTCAAAAATACTTTTTTGATAAATAAATAAATCATTAAAAAAAAAAAACATGAACTTTTTTACTTTTGCAACAACATAAACATTGTAAATTTCTGTTTACATTTAATAATTAAGCATTAAATAAATTTTTGTTTACATTTAATGATTAAGCATTAAGCAAAATTTTTGTTTACATTTAATAATTAAGCATTAAATAAATTTTTCTTTTACATTT